TAATTCTTAATATGTCAATCTTCTGCCATTTTATTCACTGTTTCAAATTTATTCCCATACAGTGGTAGAAGTATATGCATATAATTTGATGACTTGTTCCTGATGTGGTGTTGCCAGTTCATATCCAACCTCTGGGTAGTTTTATGTCCGTAACACAACTACCTGTCATTTAGCAACAGCTAACATCCCGGTTCATGTCAGAAGGGTCTCCCATGGCAAGCTTCTCATGAATTTTGATAGTGAGTCATTGTACACACAATGATTCTTCCCATCTGCAAGTAGGTTGCCAGATGACTTCCTGCTTTCAAGAGTTCACCATACAATATTTTATGGTGGAAATTTGTTATAATGATAATGTGTCCCTATTGAATACAGATTCATAATGAGTTTCAGGTTATTGAGTTCAGAGTGATACTCAGACATGTCAGTTCCCTTTGGGTTTGCTTCTCACTTCCTCTACAGACTCCACCTTTTAACAGTTGAAAAGTTCTCCACGTATATCACATGCATATAACAATATATTGCATGTTCATAATAGTATATATTCATTTTTATTCCAGATCTTAGTTACACACGTTGAATCTGTAAATATCTTGAAAAGTGGAAAAGTACACTAACAAAAGCATTACAAGTCCCATAAACATCAACTACTATAAAAGGTCTATAGTCCCTCCTCCATACGGTTACACATTTGTACTATCTAGCCAACATAAGAAATAACTTTCAGCAATAGTTTATCAAATACTGCCGTTGAAAAAATTTTATCACAAAATCCTGAGTTTCCTGATATTGCTGTCAAAATATGCTACTTGAGTTCTTTACTTGGGCCAGTAACCTGAACTGATAGGTTTTTTCCTGTCCAAGAGAGAATACAGTTGAACTGCTTTAAGGAACAGTGAAACAGAGATTTAATAGATATACATCTGTGTTATAACTACGGAACTTGTATTGCACATAGGTATTTCAGCATTTTTACATTAGCATTTTAGTTCTTTAGTACTTACATATAATGCTTTAGGGTAAAAACATTAACTAATACATTGAAAAACCTCCACAAACTATACTGAACGTGATGGCAAGACATACAGAGAAACATCTTCAGAAAAACTACTGGTGACGTGTTCAATCTCAGGAAAGTTTTCTCCACAGCTTACAGCTGCAGTCCAAACTTCACATGAGTCTGTGTGAATTGGCATCTATCCTGTAATGGCTGAACAGTTCAGAAAAGATGCAAAACATCTCAAATGAAGCCTTTCCAATGAGGCAATCTCTAACATAACAGGATCATGTTAAAAATTCCCACCCAAAAGGGCTGAAAACCCAAGAGCTTTTCATTCCCTATACGTGGATGGCCAGAGTCGGCTGGTTGCACTGGGAAACATATGCTGCAACCTATTCCCAGGGCGTGGAGGAAAGAATACAGCTGCTTTCTGTAGAGCAAACTGCGCGCTGCCAAAGACGCCCCATCTCTGCTTCAGCCATTCAATAGAGCTGAGTGTATAATGTGATGTCACTTATTTTGCAATATTATCTTCATGGAATTTGCGCTTTTTATGACAAACCTCAAACAAGAACTGGGACTTCTTTGACTTGGTTCAGTTTGAGCCCTATCCGCCATAAAGCTTTTCGTGAAGACTCTGACACATTCCTCCAGCCAGAGTTTTATCTCTCCCTGCACTTACACAAGCCAAGCTGTACATGGAAAAAACAGTGTCTATTTAATAGCTAACTTTAAAAATCTGTACTGTGCACTGGTATACTATATATGCCCTAATAATTTCCTGCAGAAGGTTATTAACACTGAGGAGGTTGCACAAGATAAGAGCTGCAGACATCTAAGTCCTTTTAACGCAATGGACCAGCTCTGAAATACAGACATGTGTTTGCTTAGATAAACACTTAAATGATCCTCATTATTACACAACATTTAACAAAATGAGAAGTCACACTGAGCCTACAGATGTGCACAGACTAGAAGGGTCTTCAAGCAATCCTTGTATCCTGAAACTGCTGGAAGCCTCAAGCTCCAAAATCACTGCAGACTAGTTCCTTCAGTAACACAAGCACTCTGAAGAGAGCAGAAGAAGAAGACCAACAGACTTCTCTACCTTCAAAGGCAGTGAATGCTGGACCTGCCTGCAAGACAATGCAAAATCCCTGGCCCACGTGAAAGCAGAGTGGCTCCAGACCTTCTTTTGAGATGTTCTGTCCCCATGTGTTTCCCATGTGTCGCACATGAGCTACATCAATAGCTAAACAAAAATCAAGAACAAACTGTTTACAAGTTTAGCTTTCCATGTTTACCCATATGCTTTATCTCCCTCCACCCCCAGAAGGCAACCTTGGATTTTGGGACCAAGAAACAAGGGAATCCAAGAAATTTGCCAAGAAAAAGAATAATGGATTTTCTTTTTCCTGGAAGACGGGTGTGCTGCACCTAAACAGCACCGGCCGTGCCCAGGAGTACTTGTGTACTTGGCACATGCCTATGGGAGACCTGCTACCCTCAGAAGCTCATTGCAATACTGTCATGACAAGAGGTGGTGGAACCGCTTCCACATTTCGTCAGACAACAACCCTGCTACTATGTTCAGAGCCATCTGAGAGCTCTGAACGTGAGCTGCTGCTCTACACTACAGGTCCAGAGTACAGGGAGAACCTCATCTTCCCACTCCTCTCCACTTTGCGCACAAGCACAGAGCACTGATCCTACGATGTTGTGTTGGCGACAGCATTACAAGTGCAATTTGAGGAATCTTACTGAAAAAAAACCCTCACATCTTCAGCTTCCAGTCACTAAACACAATATATACACCCATGATTAAATATGAAAACAGAAAGACAACTGTGGAAGGATAATTTTTGAGACACCCTATGACTCCTGAACGCAACCATCACTACAGAAGAGAGCATTCATGACTGTGATGGCTACTTAGCCTTTTATTGAGTAGCGCAGGAATTACACCTGCTGCACCAAAAGCTCAGATAGCTGAAAAAAAACTGCACTGTTTGAGCATGGAGCTTAATATGAGACACCTGCCAAAAATCCCCACCCAACTCTTGGAAAATCATCTCTCAACCTCTTCTTTTTCCTAAATCTCCTCTGCCCTGATGTCCTTATTCAAGCAATGGAAAATGTTGGGGGAAAGGTCCAATTTTCAGCCTTTAGGCTCACGAGTATGATTCCCATGCAACAATCCATGCACGAGGGTTTTCACACTCTGGTCCTTGGTGGGCTCCCATAAACACTCCTGGGTTACCGAGTGCTGTTCCACTACAGCTGCCAGAGTTATATGTGCAATTACCTCCACCACCTTTTCCAAACAACAGCGTGCAGATCATAACGGCAGTACCTCGCTCAGCCATCCAGGGCAGCCTAGCTTAGGAGAAAGCAGAGCTCCGCAGATTTGGTACCACCAATCCTCCCCAAGAGCCACAGGCAAGGCAGAGGCTGCTGCTTATACCTAGCACCCCCTATTCCCGTTCGTTCAGTGCTGCCCATGTTGCCAGGCCACCGCTATCAGATGTGACTGCTCCTGCCTCCTCCCCTCTTAAAGGCAGAGCCTCGTAGCCTCCTGAGCAAAATCCCTGCTCTAAAATTGGTTTGTACATCCCATTCCAGCACTCTGCAGTTTACAAAGGCCTCTGCTGGCTGGCTGCCATACTGCCCCTAAGTCCACTGTAATTAGCCAAAATCCTTCTAACTGTACCTTTTTTCATGAGGTGGTTGGTGGTTTTTTTCCCCCCTTACTGTCACTTCACCTAGAGTAAGAGGAAGCCATAATACTATGGACACAGTAAGAAAATCCTGCCAACTAAAGACTGCAAGACTTGAGTAAGTGTTTAATTTCCACCTTCTGTTAAAAAAAAGTATCTCACTTAATGTGACCAGACTCAGGTTGCCTGCTGGCTAGTTTCCAGCTGCACTGATCCATTTTATTAGGAGCTACTACAGGCAGACCAATCTACAGTAGTAATTTGCACTATATTTTTAAACTGGATGCAACCCTGAGCACAGCATCTTTTAACCAGAAGATGCCAAGTCCTTGACAAAGCTCACATCTTTAAAAACTAGCAGCAGAGGTTCTCTCTGTGGGGAGAGAGCAGGGCTCCTATTTTTGCAGGCACTGCTACCTTCCCTTACCACAGCAAAAACTCATAGGAGCAATAAGTTCTGATCAAATTCCAGCTCGTGTTTAGTTTACAATGTAAGCTTGACCTCACACCAGTGCTATTTTAATTTAACCAGATGGGACATCATCATGTCTCTCTGTTTTAAACCCCAGGTTAACAAAGACAGTCAACTGTCCTCGTGTGGAGCAGACTAAAATCTACCATCTAAAAACTATTCCAAATTTCTCTAAAGTTGGGACAACAAGAAATCGGCTACTTTCATGGAGGTGACACTGTCTTTGAAGGCTGCAGCTTCTCAGGTCACACTTAGATTGATTCAGCACATGCTCTGTAGCTGTATTGTGAAAGCTGGACATGTTTCTTAAATATGTAAAAAGCAGCCTCTGCCCATTGACCCTCCTTGCCTGCATAGTGAAAGCCAGGTTCACATAAAAAAAATTTAAAAATGAAACACAAAAAAAAACCCCCCAAAAAAAGGAGCGGGGGAACCCTAACAGAACCTGGCATTAGAGAAGTGAATTGAGGTTGCTGCTCCTACTAATGGGTAAAACAATAAATTACATATCTTTCCAAGGAAACCCTGGCAAGCTATCAATGACCAACCCCAGACGTAGCACACCTCTTGCCACCTTCCGAGCTCTGCCCAAAACCTTCACAGCTGCTATCCTTTCTCAAATGCACACAGTCTGCACTTTCTTTTGCTTTC